TGTAGCAAATGTCATGACAATCTGTTTATTAGCTGTCAAGTTTACTAAGTCTTGACCAAACAGATCAAGAGCCATTTTGCTAACATGGCTAAAAACCGTACAGTCTGTGCACTTTCAAATTGTACCAACATTTTTTTATGTTGAATTCTCTATACTCGCTAGCCTGACTGCATCAAAACATGGCTCAGTAGAAGGTGATGGGCCATTCTGTCTCTTTGGGGTATGGCTTTTTCTGATGAGAGTTTGACTCCAATAGACATATATTATACATTATAAGAATTTGTCTGAAAATCCATTGTGACTCTTTCAATAAAATGGGATCTCCACAAGAATCAGATGATCTTTTTGTATAAGACCAACTCATGATTATCTCCAAAACTCTTGTTCAAGAAGAAGAAAAGCTTACTACTGCTTCTGAGCAATGTATATGCGAGAGGGAGCCTGAATGCACCTGATGCAGAGCGAACTCTCGCAGTCTGGTTTAACATCCTGCCATTTTGGGCCTTTCATCCTTGGTCAGCCAACCATGCCAGCCTCGGATATTTTCTGCATGTAAACAACACTGTCTGAACGTGGGGCTCGAGGCAAAACCGTAAAAAGCTAATTTTAATCGCTGTGTACTTCCTGTCAAAATGATATGTGTAAAATGCAAGACAGGTATGAAATCTCTCTAGCTAAAGGGCTAAAGCCTTGCACCAAAAAAACAAAACAGGAAGAGGACAGTCTGGAAAACAGGCTTAATAGGCACCAAGGCCAGAATAATTCATGAAATCATGGCTATTTTAACCGTATATACTATCAAGGGAACCAACAATTTACCTGTCCAGAATCTCTCCATTTATATTCCCACATCAACATATAAATCTAATTGGCAGTACAAGTAGGACAACCTAGAGGAAACACTTTCATGTATAAGAGCTCCTATAGACACAACTACAAGCATGTATTGCCGAAGAGCTCGTCCCTTTTTCTTTTCTTTTTTTTGCGGATTTGAGAACACGAGAAACAGCAGCCTACACCAGGTTGTGCTGATTCAAGACCAGCTGTCATTAGGGACCTGATAGATTATTGTCTATCCCGCTAAGCCCCCTCTGCCGACCCTAAATCAGCTTCACAGACAGAAATGGCAAAAAAACAAAAGACAACAGTCCAGTCACACCTGGAACAAAACATGACTTCCCTTTTATCCTTGTACTAAAACTCCTGTCTATAATATATCCACTTAGTCCAAAACAGTCCTTGTATCTTGTATGGCTGCGTCTGCTGAGGAATGATCGGGGCAGTTAGCTCTAAAACTGATCCCAGTGCAACCGTTAAAGGTCGTGGGAATTCAGAGGAGGTTATACTGGAAGCCCCATGGCTGATCTGGGAGCTGTCTGAAGGCAGGACAGGCAGGCACTGGGTGCATGGGTGAGGAGAGGCTAACTGCACACACACACACGCACACACGCGCACGCACACACACACATGAATATAACACACACAAACATGCAGGCACATAACTCCACCCGTAAGCCCTCCTCACACAGAAACCTTGTTTGTGTATGTGTGTTTGTGTGTGTGTGTGTGTGTGTGTGTGTGTGTGTGTGTGTGTGTGTGTGTGTGTGTGTGTGTGTTGGTATTAAGTGCAAAGTGTAGAGTGCTTATAGCATGTGTTTGTCTATTCCATTAAATTCACATTTCTCACACAGTTCCTCCGTGTTTGATTAGCTGGCTCAGTGTACTTGAAGTTTTCCATTGAGGAGCGACACATCAGAAACAGTTTGTTGTTTTTCTCCCAAAGAAACACTTACAATGATTTTTTTTTCTCCAAACATGACACAGTGATTTTTCTTTTAACAGGACACACTTATCCCCACACCACACGGGCCGAAGCTGAAGCTGTGAGTGTGTGATGTATGTATGTGTGTTTCTGTACATGTATGAATGTCTGTATGTTCATTAAATGTCTTTATGTGTTTCTATACTTATGAGGACCAATATCCCACACAATCCATCCAAAATTAGGGATTTTCTTTTGTACTTTTGAATTATTGGAGGAAACTTTGTTTTTCTAGCATGCTTCCACAGTAAACAAAGAATCAAAAACTGGGTACATTCTTGGTTAAAAAAAGACAATATGGGCTGCTTTTAATAGCAAAACTATATTGAAACATCTGTGTATAAACTCTCATACAACTCTTGAGGTATCATCTGATTTATTAACTTCTGCATTAACAGTCTCCTACACCGAAATGCTTAAATAGTACACATTTAGTTAAATGAATGTGTTTGGGAAGGGTGTAAATGAGACTTGGTTCATACTGCACAACATGTGTTAGAGTTTTTAAACGGATGTTTGGATGGAGTTTTGCTTTTGTCAAACAGGGCCCACTTTACTTTAATACATGAGAATTTTCTTATGAGAAATACAAAGTTTCCTTTAGGAATTGAATGTATCACAGGGGGAGTAAATGAAAAACAAATGACAATTTCTGGGGGTGAAGAATACCTCTAACTTTAAGAACAAGGAGGATAGAGGACTTCTTTTTGGCGCCTCAGTGAAAGTTAAGATGAAATACAAATTTTAATCATTAAAATTGTTGTTAAAAAATAAAAAGGAGGGCAAACAGCAAAAGCACCCCCTGCACAATGTCATACACTCCAACATGGCAATCCTGCAAAAATAATACTTCTTTGAAATCTAAACTGTCAGCCTTAAACCAACTACATTATTTTAAACCTCATAAAAGTATTTATTTTTACGGACTGCTTCATTGGATTGCATTATTTTCTTTATCCAACAACTTTTCCCTGCAGTGCATTGGGTCAACAAGTCCTCAAAAGTACAGTAACCTGAATGCATGTGTGTGAGTGTGTGGGTGTGTGTGTGTGTGTGTATTGCACTTTCATTGCTGAGTGTCCCGCTGATAAGGTGGACCTCTGGCCCCGGTGAGGTGAGGTTTAATGTCCACGAGAGATCGTCCGAGCGCTTCACTGTCTCTTCCTCTCCTCCGGTCAGAGGCTTCAGATGTGATCGAAACAAACACAATCTCACAAACCACATTAAGAGTAGAAAATGAAACTAGAATAATATAATATTACAAAGACTACAATCCCCTGCTTCACAACTCTGCTCCCTTTCGATCAACAAACCCGCCCCTTCCCATTAATAGATTAATAACTATAATATGTGACAGAGTCCTTCATCCTCTGCACAGTGGCACCTTTAGAATAGAATATTTTTTTTACTAATAATACAATTATTTGTTGTTGATATCAGAGTATCAAAGCTGTATGGCGGTAAGAAGAGATAGAGGTGTCTCAAAAAGCACCCTGTGCTCTATTGGAGTAAACACAGCACAGGCTTACGGGCCCACACCCTTGTAAGGCGTCTTAAATGTAGCAGTCCAGTTTCCCTACGGAGGATGGAGTCAGGGTGCCGTTTGAGACTTGATTATAGATAGAGCGAATGTAAGCACTGGAAGCGGATGGATATGGCATGCATGGTTTTGAAAGGTCAATGCTGACATGGCTCATGGATGCGGGTCTGAACTATGACCCCCCTCAGGATCCGAGGGGCCCTCGATGTGCTGAGCTACATGGCTACTACTGCTGAGTCAGTATACTGCAGGAAATCCTATGCAAAATAGCGTAAATTAGCTAAAGCTAACCTGGAGGCCATGATATACAGGAAACACTTTGAGTAATATTTGGCACCAAGTATGATTAACAATATTTTGCTAATACATGTTTCATCCTTAAGCTAACTCTTAATTAAACCTACCATCTGCTTAAGGCAATATTTCTAATTACTTTCAGAGAGTTACCCATCTAACCTAAAGTTAGCCAAAAAAGCAGCTAAATGCTAACCTGTAGCTAACATCTTTTTCTCTCTGCTTCTCTCTAGCTTGAAGCGTGTTATGTCGTTAGTTAGCTATTCAGCTGGTTTAAAACTCTTGTTCCTGTGCAAATGTACTTTGCCTCTCCTTCAACATAACACCCTCAAACGACGCCGCTGCAGCGCTGAGCATAAAAAGCCCTTGTGTGCTCCTGTCCTTTAAAAATTAAAAGCCCTTGCTTGGAAGAAAGCATTTTTTCCTCTTTCACAGCCCATAACAACTGCTGATATTATAGTTAGCTTGCAAAATTAATATATACATGTAACGGACAGCAAGAGCGAGTCAGTGTTGATGCACATTTGTCCCTTTAGGCTCCCTCTATGGCGTTAAAAGACAGCGGTTAAAACAGCAGCGTCATAAATTAAACAGTATGACTGAGATTGAAAACATCTTTTATTTTCAGGGTAATAACTCTCAAAGTGGTGGCGTGACGGCTTCAGCTTGGTGATGTTTCATGATTGGTTTGTACAAAACAGTGCAATGGTGGCTTAGGGAGGTATAAAGAAGAAAAACAAAAATGCATTTTTTCACACTCACTTTTTTTTTTAACTCACAGCCCCAGAAAAAGGTTTGACAAAAATGCTGTTTACATTTACACTAGCTACTCATGCTCTCTCTCCACAACTGTCCCTGCAGCACTTTCCCTTTCTTTATGGCTGTGTTGTCTCCTCCTCTTGTATCTGTGTATGTGTGTGTGTGTGTGTAATCAGGTGTGGTTCAGTTCAGTGATGTGATAAGAGCTTTAATGTGTAATATGTTTATTAAATCTGTAAAAAACTGTATTTGATTTTGTGTCGTTGTTCATGTTGCAGGATTACAAATTCTAGGTGATGGATCACCAATTTTCGGCCAATGCATTGGAGAATTGACTGTGTGCTAATAAGGGGTGTTGCAATACTGATACATATGCAAATCACACATATCATTTTGTGTAAAAAACCCATTAATTTACATCACATTAATGTTGTTATTGTACACCAACACAATATGGTTTTAAAGGCACAACAAAGCCTCATACCGTGTATACAAGTATTCTAGTATGTTTAATTGGAAAACGGGTGATCAGTTCCCAGTCAAAATGCCTTTTTATAGAGATTTCATTAATTAATGATATCTTTTAGTCTTTTTTTTTCGAATCCCTGCTTGGTTTCAATTTGAAATGGTGCCAACACAGTTTACAGAGAGTGCACAAACTGTTATATGTCCGAGAGAGAGTAATAAATGTCATAAGTATTGACGTTTCTCTAAAAATCTGTCACAGTAAAAACTGTAAAGGTGTTTGAAATATGACAGTCCCAGCCAGAAGACGTGTGTGTGTGTGTGTGTGCATATAGGCTTGTGTGTGTTTGCAGTCTACAGTGTGTGCACATGTAAGCGAGATAAAGAGGAGGAGAGGCTGTGAGTGACAGCTGAATGGATGGAGCACAAATCCTCTGAATAATACATGAGACTTCTGCCAATTCCATCTATTTATCTTTAAATTGTGCGCCACATACAAATTCATTTTCTGCAGATCCTCCATTGGAGAAGAGAGAGATGTGTGTACTTTAGCATTTTCTCAGCGCTTATTCCTGCAGCTTAAATCTTTGATAATTGTTCCGGCAAGAACAGACAACTTTATATTAAACTCATCGGTAAGATATTCACCAAGAGGTAGTGGGCAAACAAAAAAGAAAAAGTTTCCGTCTGTTTGTTTTAATGTCTTTTTGGCTCTGCCTTAAAGCATTTTCACAGCTCAGCGGTCTCCTCTCCACAGTACCCTGAACCAACAACCTCCCTAACTAAACTACGAGCGACACCAACGGAAGACGGAACCTAAAGAGGGAGGAGGAAGGGTGAGAGGAGGTGTGCGAAAAGGGTGGCAGTGAGGTGAGTAATGGGGCTACACAGGAAAATGTGGAAGGTGGAAGGTGAAACGTGAAGGCGGACAGACAAATATTTGATCATGTCTTTAAGATTTAGGTGAAAAAATAAATTAAGAGATGGGGTAAAAGGAAGCACCAATGATCTTACGTTACCATCTAAAAGAGATTCATTAGTTTTCTGACATTTCCCCCCCCCAAACAGCTGTTTCCCTTCATCAAAAACTAAGAGAAATGGGGGTCAATGTTACCAGGATTGAGCTCAATTCACCTTCAGTTCAGCCGGCAATGAAGTGAGCTTTTCCATCAATCAATATGAAAGGAGGATATATACAATATGTATAGAAAATAATAACTAGTGCCACAAATGTGCTGCCATAAATGGACAAACTGCATCTTCAATTACTGTTTTGAGTCCGGGCTGAACTGAAAATGAACGGATCCCGATCCTGAGGTGTTAACTTCCGCACTTTTAAATAGTACCGGTAAATCAGAGAGACAGCTCGGAGCTCTAAGGCTGTTCCCTGAACTCATCCGACTGCTTTAGTTCACATTATTTTTTTGGAGAAGTTGCCCCAAACCACTTCTGATAAGCTTATTATTAAACCTCCCAGTTTCCCCCTTTTTGAAAAAAGCCAGAAAGTCAATTTATGAACATGAACATAAATTGAATGTGCCTTCATATGTTAAGGAGTTACAGGTAAAACTACAGTGATATGTGGCAGTCGGGAACAACTTCTCCGTCCAAAACCGACCCTGCTACACACAATGAAACTCTCACAGGGCTCAGGATTCACAGTTCAAAGGCTAAAAGTTCACAGTTCACAGTCAAAGTTTATCAAACCCCGCTCCCACCCCGCGTAACCTAACCCTGTGTCCCCTGCGTTAGCTAGCACTCCCCCTGTATATCTCATCATCTTTCTCTTTGATACTCTGATTGGGCGATATATCAGCGACCGGCACCTCTCACACCGGCGTGGTCCTGCGGTTGGGGTCCTTGCTGTAGTCTTTAGTGAGCGTGCTGCTCTGGAGGAACTCCCGCTCTGAGTTGAGCAGCCCGCCCATCCCGCTGCCCGGTTTGGAGCCGGCGTTGCCTGGTTCGCGCGGGTTCAGCGTGTACATGGGCATCTCGGAGGCGGCGGGCCCCGTGTAGCCGCCCTTCCCCAGAGGTGAGGTGTCGCGGCTGGGGGCCTCGGAAGAGCGAACGCTGGAGCGACGCCGGAAGCGATAGCGATAGGAAGGGATGCGGCTGAAGGTGGACTTTTTGATGAGCTCGGTGCGGGATTTGGCCCGTTGCTTGCGGTGCTTCTCGATGAACATGTGCACGGCGAGCACGCCCACCATCTCCGCCATGATGAAAGAGAGGGCGCCAAAGTAGAAGGACCAGCCGTAGGAGTAGGACTTTTTGCTCTCGCTCTGGCCCGGGTCACCCGAGTTTGCTGAGATGTAGACAATAATTCCTATGATGTTACTGAGACCTGGGAGGGAAGGACAGAAAGAGAAAAGAGATGGGAGTTAAAACGAGGTGAGTGTTACCTAGTCATCAAGATTACACGAAACAGCCTGAATGTCATGGATTGCAAAAGACAGAGGTTGGTTGGATTATTCAAACAAAGCACAAATATTGAGTTTGTTCACAAGATTTGAAGCCATTCTAGCAGCTCTATGACTTTGGCACAGCAGTTCTAGAGCTAAATGCTAACATCCGATGCACATTAGTATCACAATATTAGATGAGTGTGTTGGCAAGTAATGTCTTACATTTTGCAGGCATGTTGTCATAAATCTACAGAAGCCCTGAGATGCAGGCAACAAAAAAAAACTTCTGTCAATCAATTTTTTTTTAAAGTCTGATCACAAATGTTTCCTTTCTGTGTTTATGATCAAATATTTTTTCAGGAGCTTTTTGAAGATTGTGATTTGTAAAAGCGTTTCCACCCATTTGTTTTTAAATAGTAAACACATGAGATTAAACAATAACATCAGACTAAGAAATAGATAACCAGTTTCTCCTTTGTTGATGTTGCAATTTTGCTAAAAGCTAAGAGATCGGAAATGTATAATATTCATCCTGAGAGGGAAATGAATGCCTGCAACGACATTAATGCCAATTCATTGAATATCTCTTGAGATATTTCAGTCTGAACCAAGGTGGTGTATCAGCTAAGACAGTTAAAGACACAACCAATTGTCAGGTAAAGTGAATACAAACTCGAGAAAAAGCTAAGACTTGAGCGAAATGAGAAAAGAGGACGACGTGCTACAGCCTCTGAGAGAGGGCTTGATGGAAACGCTGGAGAGTCATTGCACACAGCTGCGCTCCCTTATTCCATATCATTAGTCCAGAATACAGCGCTCATTCAGTGTGGTGGAACGCACAGAATGGGGACAATTAGCCGGCTGTAATTAAGCAGAATCAGCCCCGCACTATTGTGGTAAATAATTACCAATTTGGCTCCATGAATTCACTACAAAACCCAAAGGGACCCTACACATCCCACTGAACAGCAATTACTGTGCAACCCTTTGTACAGGGGCAACAGCTTAAGTGTGTGTGTGTGTTTGTGAGAGACCAAGTGTCAGCATGCATGTGACAGATGTGTGTGTGTGTGAGTGTGAGTGTGAGCATGTGTGTGTGTTGACACTCTCACAGTGAATCACAGCGGCTTGTGGTATTCTTGCTGATTGATTAATCAGCTGCTGTGCCCAATCTCCACTCTGAGGCTCCTCACACAGGCACTTCTGTGAGCTTTAGATGCCTAACGGGCTCCTTCCACAAATATTTGAGTGCTGCACCTCCTCTGTTTAGAGTCCACAGCAACTGCCGCACTCACACACACACACACACACACACACACACACACACACACACACACACACACCACACACACACACACACACACACACACACACACACACACACACACACACACACACACACACACAGTAGCTCCATTGTCGCTATCTGAAATGCAGCATCCTTGTGTTTGAATTTAGAGTTTTAGAAGAGATAAGACATATTGGCTGGTACTGCAGCTAAGATGGCTGCTATATGGAGTTTAATAATGACGTCATGGAGATGAGCATCAGTGCACTTAGATATTACTGCTTGATGCACCTCCTGCACTGTCCTCACAGATAAAATAATTTAAATTTGAACAATTACTATACAAAATCTGTAGTTGTATTCATACTTATACTCCACAATATGTGTTGTAATTAATACATTTGTTCATATTTTTTGTTGTCATCTGTTGTAGTACAAAGTGCACTTTTTGACTGCTTTGGTTATTATAATTATTTTAATTTTATTTAATGTTATCTTCTTATTGCAAATGTTTTACGTTAACTTCTTTTGCATATATAACAAAATATTTGATTTAGTTTTTTTTGCCTAAAATGGGGTAACTATCGCACTCACTTTCCAAAAAATTAAAAAAGTATTCATAAAAACCACACCAAAAAGGGAGAAGAAACACACTCGTACTCTAACAAAAAGACACACGCACGCACGCACTCACTCACGCACGCACGCACGCACGCACGCACACACACACACACCCACGCAGTGCAGACTAACCTGCAGAGACGAAGAATATTCCTGCGCTGAGGATGACGTTGTGTCGGCTCCGGTAGAACTCACTGGCGGCCACACAGAGCCCCCCCAGGAACAGCAGCCCCACGCTCATGATGGGGAAGATACTGGAGGCACGCACAGCACCTGGAAACCAGCACGCACACAGAGAAACATATTTTTAACTGCAGGGTACAACATTTATTTTTATCATGTAATGATGTCATCGGTATGCTCCGCAGAATGAACCTGAGGAGGGATAACTTTAGTGGAAGTGCAGCGAAGGAAAAAAAAGGGGCCCTATAATGCTCCTTTTCAGGTTCATATCAGTATGTTGTGTCTCTACTGTGACATGTCTCCATGCTTTAATGTTCAAAAAGCTCTTTATTTTTCTCATGTGCTGCAACACCTCTTTTCACCTTCTGTCTGAAACCAGAGCCCAGTCTGCTCTGATTGGTTAGCTGGCTGGCTCTGTTGTGATTGGTCAACCGCTGGTGTTACATAGTGATGTCACCATGTTACTGAATTAAACAAAGGAGTCCAATGGAGGCGTTTCAGGTGTGTGTGTGTCCTATACACTAGGAAAGGGAAAACCCCAGAAAGACAGCTTCATTGTATTTTCTGCTTTACAGTACGTTTTTATAGTAATATTGTCTTCTCCTGTCACCCTCAACTATTGTAAATATATTTTTGCTGTCATATATCAACCTTTTTCTTCAAAATCATGTCTATTATATAGACATTGTTACTGTAATTAAAGTACAAAATAAGAATGTTTGCAAGCATTAACTACTATTATTTTGAAGTAAATTGCATTACGGCACATAGGAGGAATACACATCTCAGAATAGCAGATGTAATATGGTCCTCCAGTAAGTGATGGGTCAATGGAGAAATGAAATTAACAATATCTGTAGAAAGATAAAGTAAGACGGTAAACCAACACACATTCACCAGTGTATAAAAAGTGTCAAGATTCTTACACAGATGGATGTGAACAACACTCTTAACACCCTTAAAGCTGAAAGTCACTACATTAACGTCTTAGTCGCTGTTTCATTTCAAATCCACAGTGCCTGAGGGTAGAGCTAAAACGATGAAAAATATGTCACTTTGCTCCCTCTCACACACACACACACCCTCTCCCCCCACATCTACCACACACACACACACACACACACACACACACACACACACACACACACACACACACACACACACACACACACACACACACACACACACACACACACACACACACACACACACACACACACACACACACACACACACACACACACACACACACACGCTCTTAAACACACATGGGCCAGTGTGCAGCTCCATGCTTGACTGAGTCTGAATCAGGAACATGTTAAAGCGTTCAGAGGCCTTGCTTCAGAGAGCGGGAGATGGATGGATGCGGAGGGATTTGATGGACAAAAACCAAGACAGATGGAGAGCGGCACTGACACATATGCAAGGCAAAAATAATGACGAGTGGAGATGATGGGAATGGAGGCGAGTGTGAAATATTTGTCAGAAGCCCGTATGCGTACATGATGTTAGGACATATGGAAGGATATCTGCCAACAGCTTGCAATGCAGATCTGATCTGTGCGTTACGTTAAGATATTCTGATACGTACGTCAGAGGTGTATCATTACGATGTATTTTATCATGCAACATTTTGTTCTTGTTACAACCAATCACAACATCTTTAATCGACATTTTAAGTGTACGTAAGGAGATTACATCGCGCATTTTTTGAAGTTCCTATCAATACTTTCAAATTTTTTTTTTTAACACGTTAAAGGACTTGTTTGGTAGGGTGATCAGTTTAAACAGATATGTTTCTTTCAATCCAATTTGAAGGGCTATTTTAGTTTACTAATTTCCTCTGGGGAAATGTTTTGCTTTTTAAATAAAGTTTTAGAAGCTCTATCAATACTAAAAATCTTTCTTTTACAATGAGAAGACTAGGCTGTGTATGGTTATCCGTTTAAACAGACTTCTTCCTTTTAATACAATTTTAACCGCAATATTATTTTACTGCATTTCCTGTGTGGAAAAAAAAACAATAATATGTTGCTGTTTTTTGAGTAATTTTGAGTTCTATAAATACCTGTAACATTCTTTTAAATTAAAACTATTATTTTTCTGCAACCTCGAGGGACATGTTTGGGTAGAGTTATCAGTTTTTAAACATATTTGTTACTTCGCTTTAAACTGCTTTTTTATTTAACTAATTTTACCGTGAATAAATGCATCAAGTAATGTTCGTATTTCTCTCTTTGTCTTCTATTTATTGTTGTTTTTAATATATGTTGTTCCAATACTTTGTCATCAGTAAATCATTTCTGCATATTAATCTTGTGTTTGCTATAAGATTCTGAATTATTTAGCTGGTGCCTTCAAATAAGCCCAGCGGTTTTTACACCTATTACTGTACTGTATATATTTTTTTACATTTGCGTATTTTGAAATTGTGCAAAAAAATAACCTGTATTTCAAAACAATCCCATCTTGATTGACAGCTGCAGTGGCCAGTGGTGCTGTGCGGCTGAGTGATAAGCCCCGCCCCCCTGGCCCACACCCCTGGGCTGTATGAAATGCCGGTCACTAGGTCCCCGCTACCCATTGGCTGGCCGGCTCTGAACCCTGCGATCTAATTGGCCGCCTCTGGGGATGTTGCTCTGTGTTCAGTGGAGCAATGAAAAAGAAGCACAGGCTGAATCCATTTTCTCTTTTTTTGTTGTTGTTGTTGATGCTGTTTTCTCTCTCCGATCATCTTTACTCTCTGTGTTTACGGACAGAAAGAGCCCCCTCCTCTCTGGTTTCTACTAAATCATCCTCTCTCTCTCTTTCTCCGGGGCTGCATTCCTTTTTGTCATTTTTTCCATCATGGCAATATGTTTCCGCCTCATTTTTCTCATGTATTTCCTGATAAAACCATGGCTTCATATCTGCTGTTTTCTTCGCTATTCCCTCTTTGTTCCTCGGTAAAAAGAGTCTCGTCTTACATTTCTTCTTATCAAACCTATAACCCTGTGAATATGAATAATCGGCTGTACACTGCACTCCAGGAAAAATGCTGTTTCTATTACTCTTATATCTTATATTCCCTCAGTCTTTTACTATATCTTATCCATCTAGTGCAAATGTAAGACCCCTTTCACAAGATTGTTCTAATGAGTCAAGCTAACAGCAGCTAATCTTAGCCTATGATATATTTGAGACACTCAGTAATCTCACAATATTTCTGATATATTATTGTTATATATTATTTTATGCTATATGATACCGTTTTATAATTTACCTGGGAAGGGGGTTGGGGTAATATTGTTTTTATTTTTGGTTTGTGAAATACATTGTGTACTTTTCTGTATGAAAAGTGCTACATAAATAAAGTTTGATTGACATTTGATATTCAATTCTACGTTATACTGCTTTATTATACACTATATTATATCATGATATTATATATATTATCTAACACTATGTTTTACAATAGATTTTGTTATATTGTTTTACTACTGTATATAATAATTCTTCATCTTTGTCCGTACCCTCATGGTTGTCAATGGAACAAACAAAAATGGTTGATTATTATCAGTATTGACACTACACATGTTTAACCCTCTGAGCCAGCTGAGCAATCTTTGTGTGACAGAAACACCAGATAACAGATGTTTGACAGATAAGTGTATGTTTAAAAATGTGTAAGACATATATCATCATATCAGACTTACGGAGGAGGTACTCAGCAGCGTCTGCTTCATAGTCCGCGTCCTCCGGGAAGTGATCAATCTTCTTACACACACCTCTGAACGTTCCTGCGGAGAAAACACACATCAGTTCAGCTATGTGCCAAAAAAAAAAAAAAATGAAATACTTTTTTACAAGACTGGATTTATAGTAATTTGGAGTTTCATAAACCATGCAGACAGGTGAAGTCTTGATATCTGCACATTTCTTAGAGCAAGTCCATAAATGAATACCAGAATAAACTGATAATGAGTGTTAAAGTCAAACATTTAAAACTAGAATAAATGAATACCAGAATCAACTGCTTATAGGATGCTTGTTTTAAGGTAGTTGCTTTTTCACAACATCCTAACTGTAGTAAAAAATGTTTGACAAACTGTGAGTTTTTGATATGTCATGTTCTTACTTTGTTATCTTTTAATAACTACATATATACGTAATGCCGTAATGGTCGCAGGCATGCTATGCACTCATTATTGCAGTATGGTAGAGTATGAAAAACTGTTGCACTCATTACCAATAAATCAAAAACAGTGTCAGTTTTACGTTAGGAATAGGATGGCAGCAGATACCAGCACTGTTGGCTGTGAGGTAGTAATATCTACACATCTCACAGTAAAGGCACACAATACAAACAAGAACCTTACAAAGAGCATAATAGGGCCCCTTTAAACTAATATCTGTAATGAATCAGTCATTATGGTTTTGATTAATCATTTAGTCAGGAAAGAGACAAATATAATAGCAAGTAAACCATGGGGATTTAAGCGAGATTGCTTTTGTCAATCAATAATCTTCTTGTGTGATTGTACTGCATCAGATCACATTTTCAGCAACACGTGCACATCTTGTAGGTGGACATGCATATACATCGAGAGAGAGAGAGAAGAGAGAGAGAGAGCCTTCAGGGTATGTGTGGGAACCACCAATGATAAGCCTTATAACACCCACAAACACACAAACACAAACACACACACACACACACACACAAACACACACACACACACACACACAATTACCACCGCTTTGAATACAAAACCACACCAAGCTCATTAAACTGATACATGAACACTATCAATCATGCATGTAAGTAAAAGCCTTCTGTATCTAGATTGTTAATATCAGTCAATGTCAGTCACTGTGTGTGTGTGTGTGTGTGTGTGTGTGTGTGTGTGTGTGTGTGTGTGTGTGTGTGTGTGTGTGTGTGTGTGTGAGTGTGTTTGTGTTGTATTGACTAGGATGCAGTCTCCTAGGAGCGTGCCGTGTGTCAGGCAGAGAGTGACTCATCCTCCTTTGTACAAGTCCTCCACACACACACACATCCATTAATCTCTGTGTGTGTGTGTGTGTGTGTGTGTGTGTGTGTGTGTGTGTGTGTGTGTGTGTGTGTGTGTGTGTACACTGCATGAAGCTTCATTCCCACCCTTCATTCAGTCCCATTCACACATGGTCAACACCACAGGGGAGATGAGGGAGAGAAGGGGGGAGAGGCTGAGGTGGGATGAAGGGGAAGAGGAGAGAAAGCGAGATGAAGGAGGATGAAGAGGAGAGGAAGTGCCGGTTGAAAGCGGTTTGGTGGTGAAACGACACGGGAGAATTAGAGGGAAACGTCAGGATTTAGGCTGGCGACGAACAACGGACGACTCCTAATTGCTGATTTGCATATGAAGAGGTTCTTTCCAGTACCCACACTTAGAAAATCATTCATAAATTGATTCATCCTGCTCACGCAATCAGAGTCAGTAACTAACCTCTGACTGAGACCGAAAAAATACGATTAAGGCGTGTTTGATATCTAGTTTCCGTCACGCATTAATATCAGAGTCAAAGTGTGTTTTTCCTTACACTGATAAATGTACCACCAAGTCAACAAATACACACTTTCTTGTCCTCTCCATTCATGATTTTCAGCTGTATGGACCAAAAACGCCGGTCAAGATCATAAAAGTCAATCAATCAGACCAAAGAACCACACAGTGTTGAACGCTACCAGCTATTTCAATTGTGAAACAGTTTGAAAAAATATCTCTTTCAGGTGCTGTTAAATGTACAGACTTGTGATTTAAAATGGATGCTATCGCTACGTATGCTTTTTTATCTGTGCCTGAATTTACTTTCTGTCCTGTACAGTGTCCAGTGTCATCAGACCACACACAAATAATGGGTAAAAAATGTTTCCGATTAAACAGTAAGGACTTGTTTGATGCAATTCATTTGTTAATAAAATTATTCTTGTCTAATGCCAAAATTGTCTAGTTCCCTTAGTCCCTTATGCTAGTAAATTAATATATTTGGGTTATGGAGTGTGTGTTGGAGGAAAGAGCTTGGTACTTAGCCAAAACAACCTTTTTTAAACATAATTGCATATGTTGCAGACTATTTAAGGCAGGGGAAAAATACACATTTAATGCCTAAGTTAGTGTTTATATTAGTGTACAATTATACAAAATTGTTAACAAAACTACAATATGAACTAGCAATATCCAATGAGAGTAAGCAGCACAGTATTTGTCAAAGAAAAAACATGTGAAAATACTATTCTGAATAAAGTATTGCAGTGCTGCAGAGAATCACAAATCAGTCCACTATTGTAATATCAGTCAAAATGATCACAATTGGTTATTCTTTCCAAACCGTGCAGCCCTCGTATTGAACACACATGTCAGTTGGTGCAACAGTGTGGCTCGTATTTCACTAAATGTATTGATATTAAAATAAAACCAGAGCACTGCTGTGTTTCCTGTGGATGTGGCCCGGTTTGACTGGAGTCACAGAAGGTAACTGTAGCAGCTTCTGTTGGACGCTTCAAGGTGTGAAGCCTCATCCATCACAGCTCTGCCTCGTGTCTGCCAGCCGGGAAATGTATTAAACCTCCTGCCTTTTAATGTATCGAACCACCCTGATGTATAGAGCACCAATGAAATGCCAGTGGAGCGAAGCGCCACACAACACACACAACACACACACACAACACACACACACACACACACACACACACTCATGAGCGTGAACGTAGAAAATGGGGAGGAGGCAGCAGAGAGATAGATGGCTGCTTTTATCTCTCTCTTAGTGGTCGAGAATCTATATCACAACTGAATAAACACACTCAAAAGCAGACACATGCAAACACGCACGCACGCACGCACGCACGCACGCACGCACGCACGCACGCACGCACGCACGCACACACGCACACACACACACACACACACACACACACACACACACACACACACACACACACACAATAGCACATTCAAAAACATTGAGACCCTAATTCTCACACGCTTTTGGGTTAGAGTACCTGAGGAAATCACACTATTTATTTCTAAAAATTGAAGATGGTCTGCTAAAAATAAACCTTAACACACGTACACACACCAACATACACACAGACACACTCACACAAAGTCACACACACAAGGCAGAGTCATTAAGAATGGCGTGTTAGACCTCCAGGTCAGCATGTTCATCATCATGATAATGTGTGAGTAACAAACAGCGTGCTGGGAATCTTTAAAATAACTAGGAAGCAACACACACACACATAAACACCTAAACACACACACACACACACACACACACACACACACACACACACACACACACACACACACACACACACACACACACACACACACACACGCACAAGCACTGACGCTCAAGTGACACAAGAGTATGTGTGTGTAACTCAACCCCACAAACACAGCCCTGCCACCATAATGAATATGCACCAGAGAACCAAACGTGTATTCATCCACAATTTAAAATAGTCCTCAGCAGATGCAATGTTAACAGCTAGGTATCGCCGCCTCCAAAAGTCACTATACTGTTGATGTGATTTTCAAAGATTTTTCCGTCTTCAATAGAAGCAAGTGGTTAAGTGAGGCAGACTAACCCAAACGCAACGTCTTGGTATTATTTTATTGGACAGAAATCTGGAATATCATAAGTATTTTTCTTGTTTTCCATACTATAAAGTTGTATCATAAATGTAACTCAATTAAAGAGGTAATGTTTCTGGACTGGCGTGTTGTTTGGTCCCATTTGGACATGTAAGACACAAGTTAAACAGGTTTTTCGTGCCAGTTCAGGAAATCTTTAAAGGACTTATTCATACATTATTCTTACATTATTATCACTTGGGCATTTGTCCCGTTCTCACTCATACTACACTTTATATTTCCATGATTGTCCAGCTCCATAAGAGTATTTTGACGCAGATCAGATCCAGAATCATGTCTAACTATTATTTAAATAACAGATATACTGGATTGTCTCTCTGCGGCTGAGGTTGACAGCAGGATGTATAAAGACCAATCTAAATGAATTATTCAAAAAATTATCAAAAAGGAGGCTTAATAGCAACGTGGATCAACACAACAGACACACTGTCAGTCTGTTTGATATACTGTATGTGTCATATATTTTTCACATTAAAGTCTGTAGAGCTACCTCCAAATGCTGTATCAGTGTTTGAGTCACGAACTGTCACATCAAGTCAAGTCATAACCAGCCATCACTCACACACACCAACAAGTGAGCAACAGCTTACATATAAACACATAGACTGGATTCAAAACTGTTTAAATGCAGTTTTATGATTTAAAAAGCTGTCAACAAACCCAGCACTAAAGCAGACCGTACATTTAACTACAGTCCTCTATTTAAATATTTTCTGTGAAGTTTAATCACAACCTTCTTTTGACCTCTCTCTTTCTCACACTCTCCCAGACAGCGTGTTGTGTGAACAAAAGTTAATTCCAATTGATTATGCTGTAAACCTCAAATTCAATAATATTAGCTTCCCAGGTTGCACTGGCTCATTTGAATAAGCTTTTTTGGCTCAGGAGAACTCATCCAGTGGAGAAAGAAGAAGGCAAATAAAGAAAGATAACCTAGTACCTCTCAGAAAAAATATTAATTTACTGATGTAGGTATTTCATTCATAGTTGGCACTGCACAAAAGCTCCAATTGAAAACAATAAAAACATTATTAAATGGGGTGATGAATAATCCCCACTTACTATAAAACAAATCTCAAATAGCTTATCTGCATCACAACACA